TAGCATTTTTTACATATATATATATATATATATATATATATATTAAGGCATTAAAAACTAGAAATGTTGTATTGTAGGCCATGATAAGTTTAAAATAAAACACACACCAGTCGACCGGTGTGTGAGTGAGTGTGTGTTTTATTTTAAACTTATCATGGCCTACAATACAACATTTCTAGTTTTTAATGCCTTTAATACGCTTTTTGTACCTATAAATATATATATATATATATATATATATATATATATATATATATATATATGAAGAAATATAGTTTTAAGGTGTGCTATATTTATGAGATAAAGTGCTCAATATCAGAGATAGAGCGTATGTAAATATAAATATAATAATGAACATTGAAGTCAATACTCAGAGGCGACAGACCGTTTCATGCTAAACGCAATCGTCAGGCAGCCTGACGATTGCGTCTAGCATGAAACAGACTGTCGCCTCTGAGTGCTGACTTCAATGTTCACTATTATATATATATATTAGAACATTTTTATGTTTATACATTCTTTTTATAGATACAAATATTTAAGCAAATACTCTGTTTATGATAAACAGTATTAAACAACATTTACCGGCATGAATATCCGAGAAATTTTCATAGAAATATTCGTCCTCCGACAGGACTCGAACCTGTAACCTATACGGAACCGTAATATAGCCTAACGTGACTTTTAACCGATTCGACCACAGAGGAGCGTTTCAGTTAGCAAGGTCAAATGTACTGCTTTTAAACTTCAATCATCCATGAATCTCTCATGTACATTCATATCTGCTCATGGCGTATCAAATGTAAACAAATGACGTCACACATTATGAAATGGACAAAGTCCGACAATTATTTTAAACTATTTATAAAAAGAATGTATAAGCATAAAAATTTCTTAAAATAATTGCTGGACTTTGTCCATTTCATAATATATATATGTGTGTGTACACACACACACACACACACACACACACACACACACACACACACACATATATATATATATATATATATATATATATATATATATATTTATATATATATAGTGTTTTTATAAGAATACCACTGATATTTTTGGATGCTTTTATTTGCTTTTTTTATTTAGTTGGTTGAAATTTCGGAATAGTTTTCTGCTTTACTTGTGGAATTTTCACGCGAGAATATCCATTCGCCTCAAGAAACGTGGAGAAACTCCAGCATTATATAAAAAGAAAAAGAGACTGTTTAGCGTTTGATTGAACAGATAATATTCCCAAGTGGTTTGCTGTTATTTCCTGTTTTGCTAAAAACAAAAAAAAAAAGAAAAACTTTCAAAAAACAAGGAAAGTTTCTACCTATGGACTTTCATCTTCAAACAGCAGTTAAGATTTTTTTCCCCGGATTTCCAAATACAAAACCGGAAAAGAGACAACTAGCAAAAACTAGATCAGGAACAGAATTGTTTGGTTAAATAATTGTAAGACAATTTTATCAATTCTTATATATATATAACACATTTTGTCCTAATCATTCTAACGTATTTTATGGTTTAGTTAGAAATCCCGGTTCAAAAGAAAAATCAGAAAAAAAGGGAAAATTGAATGTCTTTGGCCAGATGCGAAAGTGTCTCGTTAGTATTCTCATGATTTAGTTGGCCGATTCTTCTCGCTTGATAAATTGTCTGAACTTGGAATTGTTTTCGCTGTTTCTTTCTCCTGTTGTTCTTAATTTTTATTGAAAGCATGTCTCCCAAGCCCACTATTTGGTGAGGGCAGTGGATTGGCCGTTGATCCCCCCGCCACCAGGTCGATGCTTGGACTTAAGGTAAACCGTACATTCACTTGTTATCATGAGGAAGAAAGCGGACTGACACTCGCTGCCACGTATGTTGGGGCATTTATTATGACATGGCAATAAATCTGGATAACCTTATTTTCTTCTATTCTTTGTAGAATAGACAATGGGACTTATACTAAGTTAAAACTTAACTTAATGTTGCGAAAGGGTAAATGTAAGTGTCAGCCAGGACTCTTTGCAAATTACCTCCCCGTCTCATCGTTACCTCTGTTTTTGTTGTTGTATGTGTTATATGTAATAGGAGTAGGTAGGCTTTCCTACCGCCCGGTCAACACTCCTCCCCCTTCTCTTGGACATGAGTAGAGACTTACGCCTTGTTTCTTGCTTAGGAAGGGGTTCCCGCTACTCTCTCTCTCTCTCTCTCTCTCTCTCTCTCTCTCTCTCTGGCCTCTGTATTAGTGCAGCTCTGTTTCTCCCGTGATGTGTGCAGTCTGTGGCCTCATCTCTTCATTCTGAGGGTACACGGTTGACAGTTCTCTGGTTGCTGTTTCCGACTGGTAGTTAGGAGCCCTAACTCTTGCGTAGCGTCTTGAGCGGCTGCTCTGATCAACAGTTGTATAATACCGGGGCGTTTGTAGTGCCATGTCGCGCATGGAAAGGTGTCCCTACAGTCACCTCCGGTGGGCAACCCTGAGGCCACATTAAGATGCAGGTGTGCCAACTCC